TCACTAAGGAACGTAGGTGCAAAAATCCTTAATAAGATACTGGAAAATAGAATGCAGGAGATCATCAAGAAGACCATACACCCTGACCAAGTGAGATTCATCCCAGAGATGCAGGGACGGTTCAACATACATATAGTACACAAAGACAAGGACAAAAAACATATGGTCATCTCAATAGATGCAGAGAAAGCATTTGACAAAATGCAACATGCATTTATGATAAAAACCCTCTGAAAATTGGAATAGACAGTCTCTACCTCAATTGGATAAAAGCCACCTATGAAAAACCAACAGGCAATATCATACTAAATGGTCAAGAACTGAAATCTTTCACACTAAAATCAGAAACAAGACATCGATGTCCACTATTACCACTCCTGTTCAATATAGTTTTGGAAACATTAGCTTCAGCAATTAGACAAGAGAAAGAAATAAAAAGAATAAAGATAGGAAATGAAGAAGTCAAATTGTCATTATTTGCAGGTGACATGATAGTCTATCTAGAAGACCCAAGAACTCCACCAAGAAGGCTTCTAGACTTAATAACCAAATTCAGTAAAGTAGCTGGTTACAAGGTCAACACACACAAATCAATAGCTTTCCTGTACATGAAAAAACAGACTCACTGAGAAAGAAATGGGACAAACAATTCCTTTCACAATAGCATCCAAAACATTGAAATATCTAGGAATCCACCTAACAAAAGAAATCAAAGACCTCTACTCTGAAAACTACAGCACTCTGAAAAAACAGATTGAAGAAAATATCAGAAAATGGGAAGACATACCAGCAGCATACTTCACAGACCTTGAGAAAACAATCCAAAAGTGCATTTGGAACAAGAAGAGACCCAGAATAGCAAAAGCGACTCTAGGCAATAAAGACAAGGTGGGGGTATCACAATCCCCAAGCTGAAACTGTACTACAAAGCTACTGTGATAAAACAGCATGGTGCTGGCAAAGAAAAAGACCCAAGGACCAGTGTAACAGATTAGAAGATGCAAAAACAACTCCAGATACACTCAGCCACCTCATCTTTGACATAGGAAACAAACATGCTTACTGGAGGAAAGAGCCTGTTTAATAAATGGTGCTGGAAAATTTTCTAAAGATTAAAACTAGACCTGTATCTCTCACCATGCACTAAACTAAAATTTAAATGGATTAAAGATCTAAATATTAAAACAGAAACACTAAACTGGCTGGAAGAGAGGTTAGGTAGAACTCTTGAAGACATTGGTGTAGGAAAAGATTTCATGAACAAAACCTCAGTTGCCCGTGAACTAGCACAATCAGCAACTGGGATCTCATCTTATTAAAAAGCTTCTGCACAGCAAGACAATCCACCAACAGTGTGAAAAGACAACTCACAATATGGAAAAAATTTTATCAGCTGTTTCTCAGTCAAAGATCTACTATCTAGAATATAAAAAGAACTTAAAAAAAACAGACCTCCCAAATTTAAAGACCCCATCCAAAAATGGGCATCAGAAATGATACATTTCTCAGATGAAGTGGGCATCAGAAATGATACATTTCTCAGATGAAGTAGACATAGGAAAAATATATACATAGGAAAAAATGTTAAACATCCCTGGGTCATTCGAGAGATGCCAGTAGAAAAAAGCTAAGATTCCACCTCACCCCAGAAAGAATGGCTGTTATCATTAAATCACCCAATATCAAACGCTGGTGGGGCTGTGGGGAAATTGGAACCCTTCTCCACTGTGGGTGGGAGTGCAGACTGGTGCAACCACTGTGGAACTCAGTATGGAGATATTTGAAAAACTAGGACTAGAGGTCCTATTTGACCCAGCTATTCCCCTGCTAGGAATCTTCCCAAAAGAATTGCAAGAATCATACCACAGTGATATATGTGCACCCATGCTTATAGCAGCACAGTTTGTAATATTTAAAACGTGGAAACAGCTTAGTTGCCCATCAACTGAAGACTGGATAATGAAAAATGTGTTTTAAAAAATTTTTTTATTTTTATAACATGGAGTACTGCTCAGCCATAAAGAATGAGAAGTTAAGAGACATTTATAGGTCAAGGAATGTACATTGAGGTGATTCTCCTAAGTGAAATAGATAGGACACACATGTGTAAATACTGAATAACTTCTCTGTTGTGAGAAACTGAAATTGTAAATAAGGATGAAAATATATAATAGATAATGTGAAATTGGAAGAAAGGTACAAAGGAGCGGGAGTTGGCGGGGTAGGGGAAAGGAAGGAGGGGAATGAATATGAGAAAATAAAAAATGGAAAATAATCTTTGTAAATAGGGGTGGAGGGGTTGAAGGGAGGTCAGGGGGAGAGGAAAAAATAAGAATCAAGATGGATTATGCGAAGGTGCAAATCTCCAATGATGACTATCATTATATTATATACCTAAAATGTACCCGTAAAATTAATTTTACAAAAAAGTTTCAGTCATTCTCCGAATACCCTGTTCACCATTCCCATCCAATTGCCTGGGCCATTTCCTCAGCTGTGGACACTGAGCACATTTCAGTGACAGTTCGGAAGACCGCGAGTGGATGCTGGTGACAGACCCCAGCACTTGTGTGGTCTTGGGCAATTATTAATCTCGAGGACAGAGTTTCCCTGTTGAATATTAAGGATTATCAAGACTCATAGAGTTGGTCAGATAATGTAGAAAAACATCTAGCATAGATCCATACCTCATAGATGTCATCTTTGAGTAGTGTCACTCACAATTTATACCCATCCAGAGCCTCAGAATGTGACGTTATTTGGAGACAGGTCTCTAAAGATGTCATAAGGTAAGTTTTAAGATGAGATCATACTGGGTTAGATAGGCCTTAAATGCAATGATAGCGTTCCCTTAAGAGCCAGCAGAAGCCACACAGAAACAGAGAAGAAAACCATATGGAGATGGAGGCAGAGACGGGAGAGAAGCTACCACAAGCCAAGGAGTGCCAGGAGTCCTCAGAATCTGGAAGGGTCAGGTGCCCTGCGCACCAAGAGCAGCCCTGCTTCCCCTCAGCGTCATACCCGCTCTCCGCCTCACGTGCCCCCTGTGATGCTTTCGGAGGCTTCCTTAGCACTGGATGCCTGGGCTGAGCCTTTGTCACTTCCCACACTATCTCCTCAGTCAAATCCACCCTGTGCTTGCCCGGTACCCTCTGACCTGCTCCCTGCCCAGCCCCAGCCCTTACACTCCATCCCCCACATGGTGTTCCCATGACCACCCCACGCTGGTGCCCCCTCACTGGGTAGGGAACTTGTGCTTTTTTATTTAACCACATCCACAGCCGCCACTCCTTTTTTATTATTCATTGAATTGCCCAGGCTGAGCTTGACTTGTGATCTTCTACCTCAGGCTCCAGAATGTCTGGAGCACCAGGTCTGGGCCACCACGCCTGGCCTCCTGTGCTTTTCCTGACTGAGACTCTTGCTGCCCTCCGCTCCAGCTTCTTGGTCAGTCCAGGTTCACTGAGGGGTAGGCATGTCCCTGGCAGGAGGACATGAGCTTTCCTGGGAGTTGTAGCTGTTGGGAGCATCGTGAAGCAGAGCCAGTGCAGTCAGAGGGTTGTTCACGGGCCCTCACCCTCTTAGCTGCTGTGGGTGCCAAGAGGGACCCTGTGCATTTTGCTTTGCTGCAAGGAGCCAGGATCTTGGTGTTCTGGGGCTGAGGGTGTGTTTTGATCTCTGTGAGTTTCCTCCAACAGATACAGCCCCATGTTCCTGGCATCTCAGCAGTGTCCTCGGAATTGGAGCTGGTTGGCTCCAGATTCTGTTTAAATGGTGAATTCAGAGCTTTCTGGACTCCTGAGCCTGACTGGGTTAAAGCAAAGGAAGAAAGGTTTGCTGCCCCTTGCTGATCACGATAAGACCAATCCCAAGCTGCTCTCTGTGCCCATGTATGAGTCTCGGGAATCACAGGGCATCGACCCTCTTCTAGTTCTTGTTAGTATTGCCATCTTCAAGGGTTTGATTCTGAAAACACTGCCCCCCTCCTCCTTGGACTGAGGAAACTGGTAGGGCTAAAAAATCTTGAGTCTGCTCGATGGAGTTACTTGCAGCAGCAGCTGCTACCCAATCAGGGAGAGACCAGGGCCCTGGGCATGTGTCACAGTGACGGAGGCTTCAGTTGGGACCTTCCTTCTTCTGGAGCAGCCTGCTGCTACCTCAGACTTCCTCCCCGCAGACCCTTTAATCCCTCACCCTGAGATGAATTCCAGAATCAGGAGTGGGATGGGAACTAGTGTTCCAGTAATGCGGGAGTGAAACCTACTGGTCACCCATGCAAGTGTCCTCCCTGTTCTTCTGCAGATGCTGGTAAACTGTCTTAGTCTCTTTTCTGTTGCTATAACAAAATGCCTGAGGCTAGATCTTTATAAGAAAAATAATTATTGAGTTTACAGTTTTGGAGGCAAGGGCCTTGTGGTGGGTGGTATGACATTGGCAGGGTTATGTGCAAGAGTGATCACGGTACATGCAGAACAGGGATATAGGAAAGGTACCAGGTTACCTTCCAACAACCCCTTTTTGTGGAAACTAATGCAGTCCCATGAGACCTTCATTAATCCCTTCCAAGGATGGTTGCCCCCCAACCTAATTACTTTCCACTAGACCTCACCTCTTAAAGTTTCTACCACTTCAACAAGCTTGCAGCACAGGAAGCTTCGGGGGGCATACTCAAACCATATCCAGACTGCAGGACGAGTCCTGGAGCAATGTCAGGCAGGAAATAATATTGTCAGGTTCACCTTGTCTAAAAAACGTCATCCAAGGGTTGCGTGAAGAATGGATGCTCATGGGGGTCAGGGGAAAGCTGGGGCAGGGGTACAGGTAAGGGCTGAGGAGAGAGTGGTTTGATGGAGAAGAGGGCAGGACGCGTTTAGGGGCCTTTAACATTTTACTTTTAATGGCACTGGCGATTGAACCCAGAGCCTTAGCAGGAGGCTGTATCTCCATCCCTTTTAAATTTGTTTTTGTTTTTGTTTTGAGACAGAGTCTCACCAAGTCACGATGTTGTTCAGGCTGTGTTTGGACATGAAAGTCTCCTGGCTCATCCTCCCAGAGGCTGGAAGCACCAGGTCTGGCTTAGGAGCCATATTTACAGGTAAACAGGGATGGGAGAAGAGGAACCCTTGGCAGACTGGAAGTGTGGCAGGGGAGTGAGATTTCACAGAGGCCCCCCTGTGTTTACTGTGAGTGTGGGATTCACATTTTCTCTCGGAGAACCAACCCCGGCACCCATATTTCTGAGTCCCCATGCCTGGGGTCTGGAGAAGTCAAAGTCATAAAGCATTCTGTCAGCTAGGTGCACTCTCTGATTTTTTTTTTCCATTTGAAAATCCTGCAGATGTCACCGATCGGCCACACAAGAGCTGTGACTCTCTAACTCCAAGTAATGTGTAATTATAGCAACACAAGCATAAAATTACCAAGGACAAGGAGCTGCAGAGTAATTATATGATTCTTTGTTACTTGGAGCTTTTTTTTTCTTTTTGAGCTGATCCTGTTAAAAGCACCCATTTAGTGGGTGGGCAGAAAGAGCAGGTGGCAGATGGGCAAGAGGACTACAGACACTGACTGGTGAGTGCAGCCTCACAGGGCCCAAGGCCTGGCTTGAGGTGAGGGAGATCCGTGCGTCCCCTTCAGACCCATGTTCCAGTGTCCCCCTTAGCGAATAGGGTCATTCCCGCTCCCTGGTTTGCGGGAGGGGTCAGGGAGCTGGCACAGCAATCAGGGAGGAAGAGGCTGAAATGGTTATTCCTGGGAGTCTCTGGCATCTCTCCCACACACACTTTCTGGCCTAGTTCACCTTCTACACTGCAGCTGACATTGAGTCTAACTCCTTCACTGTGCGTAACACCGTACAATGGAGCCCACTGCCCTGGAAATACAACTCCAGCCTCTGTCCCTCCCGATCACATCTTTCCATAGGACGCGCGGCTTCCAGCCTTGCAAAGGCCCCACGGCTGACATCAGAAGGGACCTTGGACTCGCCACCCGACCTCAGGCCAGAAGGACAACACATTCTTTCTCTGACCACTGACCCAAGCGCGTCTGTACCTGTGGGTGTGAGGGTGGAGCTGGGTGATCAGTACGGGCTTCCCCGAAGCCAGCCTGACCCTTCCCCACCCTCCATCCTTAGTTTTTGGGGGCGTCTTCCCCTCCCGCCCTCATAGCTGCCCCAGCCCTGGAGCTCTTCTGCCAGCGAGGGTCTCACCATGCCCCTGCTGGGCTCAGCAGTGCCCATTCGGCCTGTGAAGCTTATCGGCTGGGTGCTTAGGTGAATCTGCGGGGCTCTGAGGCCAGGGACCCAGAAAGAGGGGTGCGGCGACCCCACACGCAGTGCGGCTGGGTGGCTGCGGGTCAACCCGTGCATCTGTGATTCCCTGCAGGGGCCAACGCATGACCCCTGGCCCCTCCCTTGGGTCCTTGTGTCCTTCTCCCATGAAACTGTCTGCCAGAGCCCTGCCACCTACTTATTAGTGCCATTACTAATTTGTGCTTGCTTAACGTAAGGCACCGCAAGGCTTTCGGGCAGCTCCCAGCACGAGTGTCCCCGGAGGGTCCAGCGTCCTCAATGCCCCGGGACTTTGCTGGGGCGAGCCACCGCTCTGTTCTCAGGGCACCGAGTCTTCCGAACGTCCTCAGACATGCATGCATTGCAGCCACTTTTGAAACCTCTCTCACTCAGGCCCACTGTGGTTTAGATTACAGAGCAATTATCCCTCAGAGCAGCTGTGCAATTCAGAGGTCATATCTATTCGGCCCACTAATGGCGTGGGGCAGGCCCACACTTAGCAGAGCCCAGCGAGCTGGAAATGGGCAGACTCTCCTGCTGGGCCCATCCCGGGTCACAGGGGACTGAGGAGTAAGGCTTTTGTTTCAGATCTCTGGGTCCAAGGGGGATTTTCCTCTGACCTTCTTGGTGGCTGTTGCCTGGGGCAGGTTTGGTAGGACTAGCGGATGAATTACTCGCTTTGCCCCTCAAATCTCTCACCTATTAAATGGGGATAAGAATAAGATGTATTTTATGGAATGTTGGTGGGATTAAATGGCTCAGTACCTGAAACAGACATAGATTGGCACACAGTAAGAGGTAAAGCAACAGTACCAGTGGCTATTAGTGTTTATCATTGTAAGTGATGTGCTAGTAGCTAAGTGTTAACAGGGATGAGTGTAGTTCCTGTCTTCACGGAGCTTAGAGTCCAGGGTACTCTGGTTGTTCTCTCAGGGCACCACCTCAGCCAGGTGTGAAGACGTAAGAGCCTACTTTACCAGGTACATCAAACAGTGGGACCCCAGGAGCTTGCTAGGGGATGTGATTGTAAGTTAATCATTGCTTAATACATTTCACATGTGATTAAGAAAAAAATTAAATTTAAAAAGTAATTTCTATTTGATTAAAGTAAAAAGCATGCACATGGTCCAGCAAGTTAAGTGGTGCTAAAAAGTTGAATAAGTAAGTCTTCTAGCCTGTTTCCTTCCCGTTTTCCCCCTTAAAGTATAGTTTTGATTTTCTTTCCTGTTACTTCCAGTGTTTAATGCCACACTACTATATAAATTTTATCTGTCTTTATCCATCAGTTTTACGGAAGACGAAGCTGTTGGGTTTCCTTACCTTCCCCTCTCCTAGCCTTCCAAAATGATCAAGTCACATTTTTCATCGGATTCTTTTTCCATATTTTCTATTGGGACTCTGAATGCTACTCATGGGTGAGCCAAATAATGGATCATGATAGTATTTTATTTCTTGTTCAACTTATTATTATTATTATTATTATTGTTTGTTTTTTGAGTCAGGGTCTCACAATGTAGTTGAGACTGACCTGGAACTCACTATGTAGCCCAGGCTGGTCTCCCAAGTTTTACTTTTCATGCTTGTTTTTGTTTTGTGTCTGTCTTCTCTTTTGACAGCATTAGTCAAAAGCCTACTGATTCACCCTTCATTTGTTCAAGAAGAGCAGATCTGTGTGTGTAGGTGGCAGACCCCTGTGGGAGTTAATCACCTTACGGGCTATCATGGGGGAGAAACGGGTCGTCAGCAGGCTTTATCCTTGGAGACCTCACATATCTGGGGTGTTTGGCTAATTGTAGCTCAAAGCACAAGTTTTGGTTTGCTTTTACAAACACATATAATGTTTTTGTGTTTGAATCTAATTTTTGTCAGCATTTTTTTCTCAACCTTTGTCTTTGACTGAGTTTCTTCTTTTTCATTCTCAATTTTTGTTGTGCTGCTATATTTTACACATTGGTGGGCAATAGTTTTAAATTCCCAAGGAGTTTTAAATCCATCAAGGAGTTACTGAGGTAAATTAGTAGTTACTGGGAATTAAGGAATGCCCTAAATATGTGCTGTTGATGTTGTTTAGCATGTGTCCATTTTGGTCACAGGTTGGGTCATTTCTTACTATCGATCTAATTTAGTCTTTTCCAGGTAAGAAAGAGAGGTCTGGATAAATTAAGTTGTTTACTCAACACCAGAACAAGGGCATGTACCCAGGGCTCTTCCCTGACCCTACTGCGCCACCTCCTGGGAACACGTGAGGGACCAGTGGTCGTCCCTGTGCACTGGACCCAAACCAGGAACTCAGTCTCGTTTGCTCAGGCTTGGAGTCTCCCCATTTCGTGGCACCGAGCTTGGAATCTTCAAAGCTCTGCTGTCCGGATGTTGCTACCTGCCAAGGGTCTGTTTCCCATCTCTGTTCCCGCTTCCCTGGCCATCAGCTCTCTGCCTTTAAATACATTCTGGGCGGATGCATGGGATCGATACCATGGTGGGTCCTACAGAAAAGAGGGGACACAAGATGCCAGAACTCCATTCCTATAAAACAAACACACTTAGATCCATCCAACCTGGAGGATTCAGTGAACCCTGCCTGGAAGCGCCACATGTACACACGTGGAAATACAAGATGCTGCTTTATTATAAAATAAACTGTCGCGAGCCGCGACGTCAGGATCCTGCCAGCAGGTCCTAAACCTGAAAGGACGAGGACAGAGAGACGGGAGGCACTTTTCTTCTCAAGTTCCTTGCTTGCTCGCTTTATTGTAGAACCTCTTCCTTTTATACTGTCCAGCTGCCTGGGAGCGAGGGCTGCACGGGAGCGAGAGTACCGCCCACACATTCCAGAGGGAAAAACAATAACCACCATTATGGGTTACATCTGCTACCAGCTGAACTCGCCCGTGGCTATGGGCGAGAGCACGTCCGAGCCAGCGAGGTGACTCAAAGTTCAATCATGGCTAGGCCTGTGTCAAGGCTCACCGTAATGGCTCGCCATAATAAACAATGTGAAAATCTATTGTCAGAGAACTCGCGGGGCTGTCAGCTCACTTTTCCTCGAGCAGGCTCTTCTCAGGAGCTGGGCGGGGGCAGGGGCTCAGGCCTGGACATCGTGGGCTGTGATGGAAACATTCGTTCCGGGAGGTCGGAAGAGGAGCACGTCTGCCCAGCGCCCCAGCGTTCAACCACTGTTTTTCCCGCCAGGGTTTCTACCGATGGCTTGTCCTCCGACTGGGAAGTGAGCATGCGACCTGATGTTGAGTGTTTGGGGTGACCACTGAGATTTGTTACGCGGTCACTGTGTTAAGTTACCTCTCATTCCCTTCTGTCTGCTTGGTTCTCCCTTCCTATAACGAACACGATGGTGTCCTCCGTGGCTAAAGCGAGATGCTTTGGACCTCGGATATTTCTGACATGGCATTTTCGACTTAACATGGGTTCCTCGGTGACACAACCCAATAGAAAAAGATCATTCTGGATGGAAAATAAAGTGGGTGACTGGGAGGGGTGGGGGCCCTGCCCGCTAGAGAGCCGGGCCAGGCGAATTTCCTCAGCTCAGAACACTTGCAGCACGGGGCGTACTTTCCCCACCCTGCTGGGCGGCCTCTCCTCGCCTCCCCTGTATCGTCATCCAGCCGACAACAATGGAATTGCCTGCTTCTCAAGTGTTACCAGCCCAACAGCAAACTGTGTGGGGAGCGGAGCTGCCATTCTCTGTAGAAAATTATTATTTATTTTTTATTTGACAAAACTCAAGGCCGAGAGGGTGCTCTGTGGCGCCCTTCTGTGGGGCGAGCATTTTCTCAGCTTTGGCTCAGCCTTGGCTGCTTATTATGCACGCGTTGTGTTGCAAATGTGGAACAAATGAAGCCGAGATATCAAATTAATACTGTGATCTGTTTTTCTGTTTTGTTGCCATAACAATCTGTGGCTCTTGAAGCAAAGAAAAAATTAGAATTGTATCAAAGGTGTTTACACCATGCACATTCCATCCTGCCTTATTATTTATTGCCATAATAGGTGTATTTAACATTTGCTCAAAGAAGGTTCGCTGCTACTGCTTTTTACCTGATGGTTTTTCTGCTCATCCTTCGAACCTGGCTTTACTTTTGACCTTGATTTTTTCTACAGTTCTGAGCAGGAAGAACAAGTAGTTTTGGTCAGATGTTTTATGACACTCGCCCCTCTGTCCCCCCAGTCCATGGGGTTCTTTAAAGTCAAGGGTCTTGGTGAAAAAGAAGCCAGTCCTTTCTTTGGAGCATTCCTGACTTTCCAACCTAACGAGGAGGCCCGAGATGCTTTGTGAAAGATGCAGAGAGGCAGAGAGAGGGGAGAAACGAGAATAAGAGCAATGAGTTCCCCAGGGGAAGGGGAATGGAATTCATGACGGCCAGAGGAGAAATAGGTGTTGGTCCCCTAAAGTCTCCCTTGTAGTATTCTCTTCTCATTGTCAAGCACTGGGCTGTTCAGAGCCTTGTAGAGTCCTTTTCTGTCCCTACCATCACAGGCAGGTGAAAGCCTTGCCCCTGAGCAGATGACTTTACCCATGTGGGTGCCCCTTGAGGCTAGTGTTGCAGGTATTTGAAGGCAGGGGCTGTTCCTGCTGTTTGTTTGCTTCCAACTCCTAGAGCAGTAATGGGGAACCTTTTAGAGCTTTCAGTGATACAAACAGCCCACTGCAGCCTGCATACTGTAGGTTTACCAGCTGTGCTATATTAACTATTGGTCACCTTGGAACGCCCAGCTGAACTGAATCAGTACGGTTCTGGGTGTGGAAGACTCACGTGAGAGTTGTGGCCAGTGGCATAAAAAGAGCCCTGGAGGGGAAGGTGTTTAGCTGTAGGTTTTCTTGGAGAAGCTTGCTGAGGCTGGTTTTCCTGATGCAAATTTGGCTTTGCTCGGCACTGAAGGAGCTCAGGTCCTCGCTATCGCCAAGGACGGCTGCTGTTCTCCAGTGCAGGTACCCCAGCCTGGTGGTGCGGGCTTTCTAGCTTCCCCCACTGGTCTTTGGGCCTTCCCGGGGCAGATCATTGTTAAGGACCTGCGTGAGACATTGCTGTTGGCTCTAGGTCTCCGCTTGGACTCATGGAAGACATTGCCTTGGGCCCTAGGCCTTTAGCTGGACTTGTGTGGAACTGCTGTGGGAGCCAGGCCCTCAGCTGGATTCTTTGGTCTCTCATGTGTGGACAGATCTCTTGCACTCCTCTGCATGTTTTGGGTGAATATTATAAAATAATCTTGTAAGTTATGTGTCCTGTATTAAATCTATTCCTTTGCAAGCCTTGAGTACAACACAAGCACTCTCCTAGGGCGATGCTGGGCACACGTGCAAGTGCTTCCCTCACTGGTTGTTGGCGCCATTGCTGTAGCTTTATCTAAACAAACCTCCTTGCAGTAAAGGAGGATAGGCTGAGAAATACACTGAGTTCTGCCAATTTCCAGTGTCTGGGGAAAACAGAATGAAAAGGGATGTTTCTAAGGCTTAGAGAAATTCACAGGAGTGTGTGTGTGTTACTTTTTTTTTCTTCAGGGAAGAACACAGACAGCGGGAAAGACACGGGGGACTTTCTACACCATGACTCCGAATGCAAAAATGAGTTCAGTCCCGGATGCCCAGGTGAGAGGAGATTAAACAATGTTCTGCAGTTTTGTCCTTTGCTGTCCTGGGGATCTTGAGTCAGGTCTAAAGCCCAGGGTGGGAGGAAGAGTCTTTCAGTGCAAGTCTCGTTTGGGGCATGATAGATGCAAGCCTGGGGTGGTCTCCAGACCTAACAGTGATACAGACCAAAGGAGCCCATTTGGATGCAGAAAACCAACTTTTCTGTCAAGACCAAGGCTATTTTCTTTCTTACATTTTTGCATAAGGGTGTTGTCTTCTCCTCCCCTCTCCTGCTCTCAAAAAACGAGGGAGGATGAAGGCTTCAAAAATCGGTTTGGAGGTCCGGTTTGTGTGCACTCGTGCGTGGTCACAGTGTTATCAGTAGATGCAGCTGCTTGAAACCTTGGCAACTTCAGTCCCAAAGGGGAAATGTGAAATGGGAGACTATTAATCCAGCTGGTAGAAGGAGGATTGGCTGGGGAAAGTTTGGGAGTGGCAAGAGGATGTAAGAGAGTTGGGTAAGGCTGGCTCTGGGCAGGCGTACTGTTGGTAAAAGCAAATCATGCCTTTCCGATCTTCTGTGTGTCACGGAGACTCTCCTTACAGCCCCAGAGCAGAGGAGCCTCTAGAACTAGGAACGTGGCAAAAGACGAGTAGGATCAAAGTGCAGTGTGCTCGAAATACTGATCGTTTACTTTTATAAGTGACTTAATGTTAGTGTTCCCTTCTCGCTCACCTGTAGAGTTTTCTGAGAAGGGTTAGCAACTAGAGTTCTTTTTTCTCAACGGACCTAAAATACATATAAAATATTTACAATCTATAACTTCAATTCAGTCACCAGTTCTGACTCTAAAGTTGATGTCCAACGTGGTACGTGCCAGGCCCCTTCACCGATATGCTACTTAGGTGTAGCAATGTAAAACAAGGTGCCCAAGTTCACACTAAGAGTAAGTGTCCACCTATAGGAACACTTTGTGCTTCTCCTAGCTCAAACAAACATCAGTTTGTGTGTTGCAGGGATGGTGGTGGTGGTGGATTGGGGCTTTGCCGAATTTTATTTGATTGAATTCTTTTGGTCTAAAATGTTCATGACCAAAACACAGTCACAGGAGAACAGGTTGCAGCAACTATACCTGGAGAAATGTATACTTTGTACCTTATATGTGGAAGTTTTTTGTTCCAAATACGTTGAGATTGTTCAACTCTGTGGACTGAGCAGATAATGCATCCTATTATGTGTTCTTAAAGTTCGTGAAAGGTGGAGGTTTCTATTTGTGTGGGAGAATGACGCTGTGATGAAACAGTAACATAACCTTTTCCTTCCGAAGGACGTAGGCCTTTCATCCCGTCTCACTACCCTAATTAAGGGTACCCAAAAGAAGCCTATGCGTCACCAAAATAGAACTGCCAGATTTAAATAAATATACAAAATGCCAACTTAAATTTGAATCGCATAAACAACACATAATTTTAGTAGAAGTGTATCCCATGAAGTGTTTGGTGTCTTTTTTTTTTCCCCTGAAATTTAAATGTGTCCAATTGGCGCGTATTTCTTGTGGCACCCCTACCCCAAAGGAGAGAAATCAAGAGCTTATCGGATGCTTGACATTTAGGTTTAAAATTTGAGCATCGGTGTAAGGTAGAAATACCAGAAAGGATGCTAGCTGGTCACAGCGGTGAAGGTGGCTGCCTCCCTGAAAGGAGACCCACAGAACTGGGACGGAGGAGAAGAGTTTCCCCACTGGCAGAAGCCCGGACTCTGGAGAAGGGCTGTGGGTGTGGCTCCTAGAGCTCCGCCCACCCCTCTCCTCATTTGCAACCCAAAGTGCTGCGCGTGGGTCACCAGGTGTCCCAGGGGTCCTCAAGGCCTCGCCGGAGTAGGAAAGTGAGTGGTGTTCTCAACCTTGGTTGAGGCCGCCTTGGTGGGCTGAGCCACCGAAAAGTAGCACCTGGACACTGCAAACAAGGTGTCGGAGGGACCCCATTTCTGGGACTAGCGCAGGTAAATTCACCTCAACGCTTAGGGACAAGGGTAGGGGAACAGGAGAACCAACCTAATACAGCATCCGAAGTGACTCCAGGCAAGGGCAAGGTGGATTAAGTGGAAAAGCTTCCGTTCTCGCCCGCCTGAATCTGTGGTGTGAGATGTTTGTACCTGCCTCACCGCAGTGCCACTGCGCGGCACTAGCAGTTCTCTCCGTGCTAGTGTAGGGAGGCCAGAAGGTGCTCACACGCTGCTTCAGGCTCTCTCCAGCTCGAGGGCGTTGCAGCTGGCTTTCGGGCTAGTCAGCAAATACACGCCTGCGATTGGCACCACTCCTCCCCCCAGCCCGTACAGAAGTCCCCATGCCGCGGAGCAAACTTCCTGTCGCATCTGAAGTGGGCCATGCATACTTGTTGCCACCAGGGCCCATCCAGTGTCCCTGGGAACAACCTGTACTCGCCGTCCTCCTCCAGATGTTACTCCTTGTGTGCTTAAGTGGTTATTACCGCTCACAGTTTACTGGCTGTTTGACCTTAGGTAGTTGCTTCTTATGTGAAACCACTTGGCTGGCTTACAAAATGGAAACCATAATGTCCAGTTCACTGGGTGCCTCTACCAAGTCTGTATAGCACAGTGCCTGGCACAGAAAAAGTGCTAGTAACAGTGTTTTGGGTCAAGCAGTTTGTGTTTGGGCAGCCTCAGACCGTGTCCTCCTACCTTCTCCTTTCAGACTCTTTGCACCAGCTATTCTGTTTGGTTCTTCTTTGAAAAGTGATTTTTTAATCATTCATGTTTTTCAGGTGGAATTGTTATTTAATTGTTAGCAGGATCATTCTATTTTAAGTCTTCTCAAGTGGTGAAATGAAAGACTTCTGTTTGTAGATTGAGCTTGTTAGGCATTTTTTGGAGTGGGGACTACTTCCAGGTCTTGGGAATCCTAGCAGGTGGCAGGTGCAGCATTTGGCTGGGAGACACCGGGGTGCTGGGAACTGGCTGGTAAAACTCCAGCCAGCTTGATTTCAGGGTCACACTACAGCAGATGTCTTGGCTGGGGCAATTAGGCTCAAAGTAGAAAGTCAGCAAGAAGAGAACTGAGATTTGGAAGCTAGTAGAGCTAATACTAACTGGAGATTTGGCTTTTGTAAGTGGTGTTAGAAAGTATCCTATTTTGATGGGAGCTCTTTGACAAGCATGACAAAAATGAGAAAAAACTACCAAGTAGTGTGTACAGCAGACATCACCCTTTGCTCTGAGTGAAGCTCAGGGCACTTGGGCCAAGGAGTGGACAGCACATTTGAACATAACCACTGGTAGTATATGTGTGTGTGTATATGTATGTGTGTATGTATATGTATGTATGTATATATGTATATATATATGTTTATAAATTTAGCTATTTCAGTATGTTCCTGTGTCAAGTAGCTATATTATATATTATATATCGCTTCAGCTTGACATGATTGCAGCCATCTTGAATCATAACTGCCTTGGGGTTGCTCTCCCTGCACACTGTACCTTGACAAAAATATAGCGGTATGCGCAGCTTTACCATTAAGAATGTGCCTGACTCTGATACTGGCTTGAGTAAACTAGGTACATTCTGGTTTAATGAATTCACCTTTGTTCCAGACATTGTATAAGCCACTGTCTTCTGACCCAAGCCATCTGCCTGGTTTTCCTGCCATCCAGGACTATACTTTTGTTACGAAGTCTCTGCTAAATTGCACTTTGTGAAATCTTGTATCTGTCTGCCTCTTTGTTCAGTCTTATGGCACCTTGGGGGCTGGTCTTCATACACCGGAACAGTTTCAGGGCTACACATGGGACTTGGAAGTCCCTTAGGCGGCCTGAAAGAGGGAGAAGGAACTCAAATTGCATCAGCTGGATAAAAGACCCAGGCTTCTGTCATCAGGTAAGGAGAAACAGCCAGGGCGAAATGGATTCCTGCCCCGGATCCACTGTAGGGCCAGATGTTAACCTCCCAGCCTGCCCAGTTACGTGCTCCAGAAGCACCATCCTCCTGGGTCTTACTGTCGGTATTGTTCAGTCAGGACAGGCCCTCTCTCCTCTTGACATTCTTGCAGGCCGAGCACGTCATTTCCATGGTTCTCCTCAGCAGCCATTTATTTACTGTGGCTCATACCTTCTGAGATCGAGACCAGTGTAGATGGAACCTCTCAGGAGCCCGTGTCATTCTATACCACTTCCCACTGCTGCTTCTCTATAAGCCACAAGGCCATCTGCGGTCACCTTGGCTCTCTCCTCACTCCTACGTCTACTTGTCCCTCTCCCTTCTTTTTTCCTTAGCAGCTACCATTTCCCACTTTTCTGCTTCGTGAAATCCTACTTGGATTTTGGGATTTGTGTCAGTTTTGCTATAAATTCTTTCCTTTTCCCTCCCTTATTGTTTCCATTCCTTCTCTGGCCTCCTGAGTCTTTACTTTTTATTTATGATCTAACATACTATGTCATAATTACATATTCCTCTCTCCAATTCCTCTGTAATCTTATGGAGAGACGGGATCCTTAGAATTCCACAGGGATTCTAATTCTCTGTTAGCATTTCCCAAGTGTCTTAGAACACTGGCGCTCTAGACGTTAATACCTTCTTATCTAGTGCTATTGTGTTAAAAACACAGTTACAAATATGTTGTACATAGGTGTTAGCGTTATTCTATCCATTACTGTGTACAGATAAACTGAGTAACTTGGCAGAATCATGGTTCAAATCCAGGCAGTATTGTTGCGAAGTCTGTTCTCTTCACTACCACATTGTATCACCCTGCTGATGAACAGCTATCATATGATTATGTTGTGCATTTCTTCTTGAAACCTTAACACTGGGTTAACCCAAGTTAGATGGTGGATTTTCCCCAATGTTAGATGGGAACGTGGAGACCTGTCAGACCTTTGCATATGTTAAACTATACATGGATTTCTAAGAGGATGCATTTGACAGCTTTTCTCAGACCTTCTTAGGTACCAAATTTATTTTTCCCAAAGACTAGCTTGCAGTTAATTTCTGTATAATTTA